TCGCCGGGACCGATGTTTCGTGCTGAGAGTAACTTTCACGACGTCGACCTCCAGAGGTCTCGACCCCTTCGCCGGGACCGATGTTTCGTGCTGAGAGTGTCTTTTTGCCAGTCCCGGGGCCCGGCGAGGGCCTCCGGAGGCCGAAGAGATATATGGAGAAGCCTCGTGCCGTGATTTTTGTCTGACCCAGGGTGTCTGGGATTCCTGTCCCCAGAGTCCCGATCTACAGGGCCTTGGGGAGGGGAGTGCCAAGCCCGGGGGCCCCCAGGACCCCTGCCCAGATGTCGGCGGCCCCCCAACGGTGTGGTAACCACACCGCGTGGTGAGTCCGTTGGGATTCGGTGTCACTGCATGGGTTTGGGACCCGGGTCGTTCTCCGAGGCCGCTTCGGGCGACAGTGGGATCCAGGGTCCCAAAACCGTGCGGTGACAGACCGCGCGGTGAGGTCGTTGGGGATTCCGAGGTCACAACGCGGTCCGTCACAACACGGTTTTTGGACCCCCGACTCTCACGCGTACTTGGGTGGGCCCGCGGAAGCCTCCACCGGGCCGGGCCTCTCCAGGCCCGGACTGCCCCGACGCCGACGACGACGACGACGTCGGCGGCGGCGGCGACGATGACGTCGACGACGACGACGAAGACGACGACGAAGACGACGTCGAAGCAAGATCAGCATCGTTGACCCGATCCCCATCCCCACTGGTCCATGGTATTTTGGAGCCGTCTGGGGGTCTGAGGTGGCCCAGCACTGGTTCTGGCCAGCAGTAAGCGCGGGCAGGTTCAAGGTTCTGAGTTGGGGACGGTTTTTCGCTTTTTTCGGCCTCCAGAGAGCGTTTTCGAGCCCTGGGACCATGAAAAACATATCCAGGGTGAAAAATTGCACCAGATGGACCCTGGGAAGGGTGCAGGGAGCGATTTGAGCCAAACTGGGCTATGGTATCGCATCCCTGCCAGACCACTCCCAAGATGGGGACAGGCCCCGCGAAGCCCGAAGGGAACAGCGTAGGAGTCCCATCTAGGGTGGTAAATCGGTCAGTGGGGTCAAGGTCACGCCAGTGGGGACAAGGATAGGTTAAAAGATGCTCACAAGACGTGGAGCATTGGGCCTCCCAAATGGGGATCGAGTAGGATGGGATCGGAGGATCGTGCCGCACCACCAAAGCATCGGCGATGACGGCTAGATGTGGAGCCCGATCTTCTGCACGCCGACGACCCCGACGCATCGCCGACGTCGCCGACACATCTCGCTGACGCATCGGCGATGCGTCGGCGACGTGTCGGGGATGCGGTGCGATCCTCCGGCCCCATCTACTCGGACCCTACATGGGAGGCCTGTATGGGAGCTTCTGCACCCATTCGTCTCCCTTGTCCTCCCTCTTCTTCGCCGGTCGGTGAGTCACGTGTGCCCCCGCCATCCCCAGACATGACCCCGCCGGCGATGCATCGGGGAGGCGATGCGATCTCTCGGCCCCATCTGCTCGGACTCCATGCAAGTGACGGAACAACTGGGGTCGATTGCGCCGACATTTTCGCGTAAGCTGCCTGCATGAGGTCGTGCCTGAGCGCCCTTATTTCCAATGCGGCATGCCGCGCTGGCGGCCCGCGTAAGCTACCGCGTAAGGTCGCCGTGCCATCTTGCGTGCGACTCGTTGCTTTTCGTCGCCCATGCGGGAGGCCCCCAGTAGAGCTGAAGCTCAGGCTGTAGGCTGTAGCTAGGGCCCTTGACACTCACGCGCCGGATCGGCGGATCTGAGCACCCGCAAGGGCAGCCGCTGGGGAGTGTTGCGCAGGCCCGGTTGCGGCCAGATTGCAGGGATGTCTCGAGCGGGGCCCCCGTGTTGCACTCCGACGCCTCTGCATTCGTAGCCCCATGATCACCGCGATGTAGTAGGCTTAGGGTCTCTCACACAACCGCTCACAGCGGGAGGCGCCAGGAAATGAGATGCACACACATGGGGCTCTCCGCGTGGACCAGCTGCCAGCCCCAGGCCCCGAAAACGGCCTCCCCTCCCACCTGTCGTTTAGTCCAAGATGTTGGAGGTCTCGGCCCTCCTCCTCCTCCTCCTCCTCCTCCTCCTCGTCCTCTGCCACGCTGTGCTCCTCCTCCTCGTCCTCCTCCGGCTCCTTCTTCTCTTCCTCTCGAGCAATTCCCGGCATCCGCAGCTTGTTGGGCCCGTCGCCGTGGTTTTCGGTCCTGGTTGCTCGGTCAGGCCCTTGCGCTCGCTTCTTTCTGGGCCCCCTGGTCCGCCCCTTGTTTCGGTTCGGCCTCCTCGGGCCCTCGTTCGCTCGGCCTTCCGCGGAGCTGGCGCACCGACTCTGACCCACGCGCAAGTCAAAATCCCCTTCCTCTCCCCTCGCCAGGAGGACGGCGACTACTGGGTGTGCTCCGAGCGCGCGGGCCCCTCGCCGCCGCCGGGCGCGCCCGACGGCGAGGCCGCCCCCGCCGCCCGCCGACGTGCCGCGCGCGGGCCGGCAGGGGCCCGCGTGCCGCTCGGCGGCGGTGGTGCTTCCCGGGGTCGGAGCGCGGGCTTTCAGAGGCGGCCTAGCCGACCCCCAGCAAGCCATCCCCTTCCGTGACGTCCCGTGTGGGGGGCAAGGATGGGGGGGATAGGCGTGTGGTCACCGCCCACCAACCCAACCCAACCCGACCCGAAGGCCCCGACTTGCCCTCCATTTCCAGTGGGGGAGGGATCGGGGAACATGGGCAAAAGCACATATGGAACCCGTACCCCCACCAACCCGAAATTCGGGCGAATTTCGGGTCTTCGGGTTGGGTTGGGGGGGATGCATCGACTCCCAATCGCCCATTGATCGCCGATAGGGACCAGATAGCCCAAACCTGTACAGGACGGTGTGGATGCACCGTGGCGGGCCCCTCGCAGATCTATCGGCGACGTATCCGCGATCCCAGGTCGATGCATCCCCTCCTATGTGCCAGTCCCCCCCCAATCGTTGCCCCTCGGCCTTGCCTCGGCCCAGGACGCATGTGTGCGGCCCGAGGGCAGGCAGCTCGAAAGGCGAGGACGGCGTCACAGAAGGGGGTGGTCTGTTGGGGTTCTGCCGGGCCGCGCCCGAAGGCTCGGATCTGCGACCACCGGCGAGCCCGAGCCTGCGGAGCCCCAGGGGCGCCGGGGTGTCTGCCACCCCCGCGGGGGGGGGCGCAGAGCGTCGATCTGGGAGGTGGTGCCCCTGGGAGCGGGTGCTGTCCTCCAGATAGGGAAATCACCGAGGCTTCCGCTCGTCTGGGGCTGAGCATATATCGGCGAGGAGCGCCCAACAGCGCCCAATGGCGCCGAACAGCTCCCAGTAGCGCCGAACAGCTGCCAACTAGCGCCCGACAGCAGCCAACAGCGCTCAACTCAATAGCGCCACGTGAAAAGGAGATGCAGTATGTCCGCTTTGCGCGATTGGGCGCGCCATTGGGGGCCACGGGGACGACCTCAAGCTTCTGTGAGTTGCTCTCTAGCAGACCCTGGGACCTGGGCGTCGCAATTTCTTCGCACCGGGCTTTATCGCCCAGCTTCGGGCTCCGGGGCCCTCCTAACTCGAGCGGGCCTGAGAAGTGCAGCAGACAAGGGGGTCGAGAGTTCCGGTCGTGGCTTCTCACGAGGTTGCGATGCTGCATGTTTTGCGCGACGCCTCCTCTTAGGGGACCCTGAGACGGGATGCGAAGTCCCTGGAGACGGGACGGGGTGGGCACGGGTTGGCATCATAAGCTGGCCCACTACCAATAAGAGGAACCATAGCGTCTGCGTCAGCACACAGGACTGATCCACTGACGGATCCAATCCATCCTCCATTCATTGGCATCAGACTCATGCGAAGCAGCATGCTCTCCTCTCGCGCCGCGGAGGAATCACGGCGGAAGGTTTTTTCCCAACCATCCTGTGGTGTTGGGTCCTCGTCTTGAAGAGACGGTCCCCGCGTTCTCCTTCCTCCTCCCTCCTTCCTCCTCCCGCTCCTCCCTCCTTCCTCCTCCCTGCGTTTCACCAAGGTCCCAGCGGGACCGCCCGCATGCGTCAACCACCCCCCAGCACAGCCCTTCCTCCCTGCGTTTCACCCACCCAGTACAGCGTTTCGTGGCCCCATAGGGAGCTCCACCGAAGGTCCCAATGGGACCGCCGGCATGCGTCAACCACCACCCAGCACAGCCCTTCCTCCTTGCGATTCACCCACCCACTACAGCGTTTCGTGGCCCCATCGGGAGCTCCACCGAAGGCCCCATTGGCACCGCCCGCATGCGTCAGCCACCACCCAGTACAGCGTTTTCGTGGCCCCATAGAGAGGGCCCCACCCAAGGCCCCAGTGGCACCTCCCGCATGCGTCAACCACCACCCAGCACAGCCGTTCCTCCTTGCGGTTCACCCACCCAGTACAGCGTTTCGTGGCCCCATCGGGAGCTCCACCGAAGGTCCCAGTGGGACCGCCCGCGTGCGTCAACCACCACCCTGCACTGCTCTTCCTCCCAGCGTTTCACCCACCCAGTACAGCGTTTCGTGGCCCCATCGGGATGGGACCGCCCGCGTGCGTCAACCACCACCCAGCACGGCACGGGCTGGTTTAGCCGGGGCTTGTTTCGCCGGGGATGGTTTCGCCGGGGTTGGTTTCGCCCGACGCTGGTTTCGCCGGCGCTCGCCGAGTCCGCTGCCGCCGCCGCCGTTGTCGTCGCCGTCGCCATCGTCGTCGTCGTCGTCCTCCTCCTCCTCGTCCTCCTCGTCCTCCTCCCCCTCCTCGCTCCTCCTCCTCGTCCTCCTCCTCCTCCTCCTCCTCCTCCTCCTCCTCCTCCTCCTCCTGCACCTCCTCCTCCTCCTCCTCCTCTTCCTCCTCTCCTCCTCCTCCTCCTCCTCCCCGCCTCCTTCTCCTGGCCCCTTCCTCTCCTTCTCCTCCCTCCTCCTCCTCCTCTCCTCCCCCTCCTCCTCGGGGGCGGGTCGTGTCGGGACGGGGCCGGGCGGACCCTAGCGGGCCGGATCGGGGTTCGGGCGGGGCGGGACATTAAAGTGTGGTTGCTGCTTATCGAGTGGGCCCCGCGAGACGAGGAGCTTAACGGTCGGGTTCGGGTGGTCGGGTCGGGCGGACCCCTAAGCGGGCGTTGGCGGGTCGGGGGTTCGGGTCGGGTCGGGACGGAACGGGCGGACCCTAACGGGCGGGCCCGGTCGGGCGGGCGGGACATTAAAGAGTAGTGCATAATCGAGTGGGCACGCGAGAACCCTAACTGTCGGGTCAGGTGGGGTCGGGTTCGGGTCGGGCGGACCCTACGGCGGTCGGGTCGGGCGGGCGGGACATAAAAGTGTGGTGCATAATCGAGTGGGCACGCCGGAACCCTAACGGTCGGGTCGGGTCGGGTCGGGCGGACCCTAACGGGTGGGTCGGGTCGGGTCGGGACGGGCGGACCCTAACGGGCGGGCCGGGTCGGGTCGGGTCCGGCGGCCCTAACCCTCTTCCCTCCTCCCTCCTCCCTCCGTCCTGCCCTCCCTCAGCCACCTCCTCCACCACCTCCACCTCCACCTCCTCCTCCCCCACCTCCCCCACCTCCTCCTCCTCCTCCTCCTCCTCCTCCTCCTCCTCCTCCTCCTCCTCCTCCTCCTCCTCCACCTCTCCTCTCCTCCTCCTTCTCTCCTCCTCCTCCTCCCTTCCTCCTTGCTCCTCCTCCTCCCTCCTCCTTCGTGCACCCTCCTCCTCCTCCTCCTCCTTTTCCTCCTCTCCTCCTCCCCATCATCCTCGTCATTTTCTTCTCCTCCTCTCCTCCTCCTCCTCCTCTCCTACTCTCCTCTCTCCTCCTCCTCCTCCTCCTTGCTCCTCCTCCTCCCTCCTCCTTCCATTCCTCCTCCTCCTCCTTCTCCTCTACTACACTCCTCCTCCTTCCTCCTCCCCTCCTCCTCCTCCTCCTCCTGCACCTCCACCAGCAGCCGGGCGAAAGCAGCCAGGCGAAAGCAACCGGGCGAAACCAGCCGGGCGAAACCTGCCTGGGCGAAACCAGCGTCGGGCGAAACCAGCCCGGGCGAAACTAGCCCGGGCGAAACCAGTGCCGGGCGAAACCAGCCGGGCGAAACCAGCCCCGGGCGAAACCAGCGGCTGCCCCCAGCACAGCCCTTCCTCCCTGCGTTTCACCCACCCAGTACAGCGTTTCGTGGCCCCATACGGACCGAAGGTGCCCGCATGCGTCAACCTCCACCCAGCACAGCCTTTCCGTGCGTTTCGCCCACCCACTACAGCGTTCCGTGGCCCCATAGGGAGCTCCACCGAAGGTCCCAGTGGCACCGCCCGCATGCGTCAGCGACCCAGCACAGCCCTTCCTCCCTGCGTTTCACCCACCTAGTACAGCGTTTCGTGGCCCCATAGGGAGCTCCACCGAAGGTCCCAATGGGACCGCCCGCATGCGTCAACCACCACCCAGCACAGCCCTTCCTCCTTGCGATTCACCCACCCGATACAGCGTTTCGTGGCCCAATCAGGAGCTCCACCGAAGGCCCCATTGGCACCGCCCGCATGCGTTAGCTACCACCCAGTGCAGCGTTTTCGTGGCCCCATAGAGGGGGCTCCACCGAAGGCCCCAGTGGCACCGCCCGCATGCGTCAGCCACCACCCAGTACAGCGTTTCGTGGTCCCAAAGGGAGGTCACCGAAGGTCCCAGTGGGGTCGCCCGCATGCGTCAGCCACCACCCAGTACAGCGTTTCGTGGCCCCATTGGGAACTCCACCGGTGGTCCCAGTGGGACCGCCCGAATGCGTCAGCCACCATCCAGTACAGCTTTTCGTGGTCCCATAGGGAGCTTCAACGAACGACCCCAGTTGCACCGCCCGTATGCGTCGTCCACCACCCAGTACTCCATTTCGCGTCCTCTTTGATTGGGAGTTCCACCAAGCCCCAGTGGCACCGCCCGCATGCGACCCCCCCACTCGGTACAGCGTTTCGTGGCCCTGTAGGGAGCTCCGAGGTCCACCCGCATGCGACCCCCACCCAATGCAGCGTTTCTTGGGCCCATAGGGAGCTCTACCGAAGGCCCCAGTGGCACCGCCTGCATTCGTCTCCCCCTCCCAGTACAGCGTTTCGTGGCCCCATAGGGGGCCCCACCGAAGCCCCCACTGGCACCGCCCGCATGCGTCGGCCACTACCCAGTACAGCGTTTCGTGGCTCCGTAGGGAGGTCCACAGAAAAACCCCAGTGGCTTCGCCCACGTGCGTCTCCCCCACCCAGTACAGCGTTTCGTGGCCTCATCGGGAGCTCCAGCGAAGGGCACCGCCCGCATGCGTCCGCCACGCTCAGTACAGCGTCTCGTGGCCCATAGACAGCGACACCGAAGGCCCCAGTGGCACCGCCCGCATGCGTCCACCCCACGCAATACGGCACGTCCCTCACGCGTTTCGTGGCCCTATAGGAAGCTCCACCGAAAGCGGCACGCAGAACGCGTTACTCACAACTGCATGTAGTTGAGTCCTTCACCCGGATTTTTGCCTAACCCTTCTTGGTTGGGTATTCGTTCTGAATAGAGCACCGCGGTCGCGTCTTCCTTCTCCCGCCTCCTGCCTCCTGCCTCCCGCCTCCTGTCTCCCGCGGGACCTCGCCGTCCCTGGGAGGGGGGGGCTGCGATCTGCGAAACTGTCGCCACTTTCGAGGGCTGCTGGTGGGTCCAGCGGAGTGAGGCACAGCGCAGACCTGAGTGGTAGCTCGCCGTCCCTGGGGGGCTGTGATCTGCGAAACGGTCGCCGCTTTCGAGGGCTGCTGGTGGGACCAGCGGAGTAAGGCACCACGCAGACCTGAGCGGTAGCTCGCCGTCTCTGGGGGGCTGCGATGTGCGAAACTTTTGCCACTTTTCGCGGGCTGCTGGTGGGTCCAGCGGGGTGAGGCACCGCGCAGACCTGAGCGGTCGCTCGCCGTCCCTGGGGGGCGGCGATCTGCGAAATTGTCGCCACTTTCGAGGGCTGCTGGTGGGTCCAGCGGAGTGAGGCACCGCGCAGACCTGAGTGGGACCTCGCTGTCCCTGGGGGGCTGCGATCTGCGAGACTGTCGCCATTTTCGAGGGCTGCTGGTGGGTCCAGCGTAGTGAGGCACCGCGCAGGCCTGAGCGGTAGCTCGCCGTCCCTGGGGGGCTGCGATGTGCGAAATTGTCGCCACTTTCGAGGGCTGCTGGTGGGTCCAGCGGAGTGAGACACAGCGCAGACCTGAGGCGGTAGCTCGCCGTCCCTGGGGGGCTGCGATCTGCGAAATTGTCGCCACTTTCGCGGGCTGCTGGTGGGTCCAGCGGAGTGAGGCACAGCGCAGACCTGAGGCGGTAGCTCGCCGTCCCTGGGGGGCTGCGATCTGCGAGACTGTCGCCCTTTTTTCGCGGGCTGCTGGTAGGTCCAGTGGAGTGAGGCACCGCGCAGACCTGAGCGGTCGCTTGCTTTCCCTGGGGGGCTGCGATGTGCGAAATTGTCGCCACTTTCGAGGGCTGCTGGTGGGTCCAGCGGAGTGAGGCACCGCGCAGACCTGAGAGGTAGCTCGCCGTCCATGGGGGGCTGCGATTTGCGAAATTGTCGCCACTTTCGCGCGGGCTGCTGGTGGGTCCAGCGTAGTGAGGCACCGCGCAGACCTGAGCGGTAGCTCGCCGTTCCTGGGGGCTGCGATGTGCGAAATTGTCGCCACTTTTCGCGGGCTGCTGGTGGGTCCAGCGGAGTGAGGCACCGCGCAGACCTGAGCAGGGCCTCGCAATCCAACTGGGGTTGCGAGCCTCACGAATGCCGCTCGCAGAAGTACATGCGCCCATGTCACGTCATCACCTCCGTGTAACGTATCCCCAGCTACTCATGCCCCGCATTGCGCAGGGGTTGGGTACGTCGCCAGTTTTTTTGGGGGGGGCCTTTTCGGCTTCCAGGTGCCCTGTCCGAGACCTGGTGCCGTCAACAGAGCGGCTCAGGCCGAGAAGCCGGCCCCCGGGAAGGTCTGGAGTTCCAACGTGTGCGCAGGGCACAATGTCGTGGGTCTTTGGGCAGCCCCTGGCATCCCCTGGCATTCTGACGTCGCGAAAACATCACGACGGAAGGTTTCTGCCGATTCTCGGTCTCCAGGGGCCCTCGCCAGACACCGAGATCGTCAAAAACGGCTCAGGATGAAGAGCTGGTCCCCGAAAGTGTGTCCAGCCCTCCGGGGAGCCATGCTGTGAACAAGCCACGACGTCGTATGTCTGGGTCCGTCGCGCGCAGTCGTGGGCGGTGGTGTCTGCAGGGGTGGCAGCGGCAGCGGTGACAGGAGCAGCGGGAGCAGCTTGCTCGCGAACGGCGCGAGGAGGGCGGAGGATGCAGAGGCGTGGGTGCGGGGGTGCTGTGAGGACTGCGGGACCGGGAGGGCGGCCCGGGGGACGCCAAGGGCGATGCTGGGCCAGGCCCGTCTGGGTCCAAGATCTATGCATGTGCTTCCCTGACCAGCCCAGAAGGGCGTTTCCACCGAGCTTGAGCAGGGTGGTCCTCTCCTTCCTCCCCCTCCTCCCGTCCTTCCCCTCCTCCCCCTCCTCCTCCTCCTCCTCCTCCTCCTCCTCCTCCTCCTCCTCCTCCTCTTCCGCCTCCTCCTCCTCTGCCTCCGTCCTCCTCCTCTTCCGCCCTCCTCCTCCTCCTCAGGATAGCTGGCATCCTCCCGAGGCGAGCCGGCGGCGCGAAGCCTTCGACCTCGGGCATGTCCGCGGCGTGGGCAGAGTCGCGACGGGCTCCTCTTTGGGGCCCTTCGCGGCCTCCGCAGGGCCCTCGCCGTGTCTCGGGGCCGTTACACGCACGACCTCGTTCAGATGGCGAGACCCCGCCAGCAGAGACCTTTGGGAGGGTACCCTGCCAGGGCAACACCCCCACTGTGCACCGATGGATGGCCCGAAACGCGGGGGCGGCCAAGAGAGGAGCGTCCAAGAGGGGGAGGCGCAGCTCATGGCCGGCGGCGAAGAGCGACTCGGGGTGAGAACCCGGCCCTGGGGAAAGGGTTCGGGCTTCCCGGGGACACCGTGTTTCAGGAGGGGGACAAAACACACTGACACAATTCATCGTCGATGCCCCAGAACTTGTGGGAAAACATGGGAAAGGGGGGGGGGAGAACAGAAGCCCAGAACATATGGGAACACATGCGGAATCTGGCTATCTGTGTATACTTCTTCGTGTGTCCCAGGGCCCCTTCAGCCGTGTTGAACAGCTCAGTGCGTCAAGTGTCGGGGGCCGCCTGCCCGCCCGAGAGGCGCCCGCGGCGGACGTGGCCCTGGTGCAGCGCAGCCTGCAGGACCTGCGCCGCATCGTGGCCAGCGAGGGCGCCGAGAGCAGCATGGAGGACGGCCCGACCTCAGTGGGCCCTGGAAACGACAGGGCCGTTTTTTTACCGGTTCCGTTTTGCCGTTCTTTTGTCGGTTCCGGCGCCGTTTTTTTTTACTGGTTCCGTCGCCGGTTTTTGACTGGTTGCGGCTCCCGCTCCAATCCTGGAGCGTTTTTTTTGCCGTTTCCGGTCGCCGTTTTTACCTAACAGCGAAGACTGATAGGTTTCTAGTAGGGTCAAAAGAGAGCAGCAGATGACTCCACAGGGGGGTCTGGGCGGGTGCCGGACAGGGTGCCGCAGAAGTCGTTTTAAGCCAACAGTCACACACTTCGTGCTCTTCGACCTCCCAGAACTCCATTCCCGGGCCACATTCTGAATGCCGGGAGCCAACTGTAGGCCACTTCGTGCTCTTCGACTTCCCAGAACTCCATTCCCGGGCCACATTTTGAATGCCCGGAGCCAACTGTAGGCCACTTCGTGCTCTTCGACTTCCCAGAACTCCATTCCCGGGCTACATTATGGATGCCCGGAGCCAACTGTAGGCCACTTCGTGCTCTTCGAGTTCCCAGAACTCCATTCCCGGGCCACATTTTGAATGCCCGGAGCCAACTGTAGGCCACTTCGTGGTCTTCGATTTCCCAGAACTCGATTCCCGGGCCACATTTTGGATGCCTGGAGCCAACTGTAGGCCACCTCGTGCTCTTCAAGTTCCCAGAACTCCGTTCCTGGGCATGATTTTGAATGCCCGGAGCCAACTGTAGGCCACTTCGTGTTCTTCTAGTTCCCAAAACTCCATTCCTGGGCCACATTTTGAATGCTGAGGCAGGCTGATGCTGCGGCCGAGGCAGGCTGAGGCTGAGGCAGGCTGAGGCTGAGGCCGAGGCAGAAGGCAGACTGAGGCTGAGGCTGAAGCAGACTGAGGCTGAGGCTGAGGCAGGCTGAGGCTGAGGCTGAAGCAGGCTGATGCTGAGGCAGGCTGAGGCTGAGGCTGAGGCTGATGCAGGCTGTGGCTGAGGCAGGCTGAGGCTGAGGCCGAGGCTGAAGGCAGACTGATGCTGAGGCTGAAGCAGGCTGAGGCTGAGGCTGAGGCAGGCTGAGGCTGAGGCAGGCTGAGGCTGAGGCTGAGGCAGGCTGAGGCTGAGGCTGTGACTGCGACTGCCGTTGCCACTGCGACTGTCATCGCGATTGCGACTACGACTGCGAGAACAGCAGAATTCTACAACTGGATTCTCATCTGAATCTTAAGGGGAATGCTTCCAGATATGCTTCTACACATCGCTGTTAGGTTGCTTTGCCGGGATAATTTTTTTTTGCCGCTTCTATTTTCAAGGGACATTTTTACCTAAGAGAGCATCATGACTCCTCAGGGGGGTCTGGGCGGGACCCGGGGCGGGACCCGGCGCGGCTGCCGCCGCATTCGTTTTTTCGCAAACAGTCACACACTTGGTGCTCTTCGACCTCCCAGAACTCCATTCCCGGGCCACATTCTGAATGCCCGGAGCCAACTGTAGGCCACTTCGTGCTCTTCGACTTCCCAGAACTCCATTCCCGGGCCACATTTTGGATGCCCGGAGCCAACTGTAGGCCACTTCGTGCTCTTCGACTTCCCAGAACTCCATTCCCGGGCTACATTTTGGATGCCCGGAGCCAACTGTAGGCCACTTCGTGTTCTTCAAGTGCTAGAACTCGATTCCCGGGCCACATTTTGAATGCCCAGAGCCAACTGTAGGCCACTTCGTGTTCTTCTAGTTCCCAGAACTCCGTTCCTGGGCTACATTTTGAATGCTGAGGCAGGCTGATGCTGCGGCCGAGGCAGGCTGAGGCTGAGGCAGGCTGAGGCTGAGGCCGAGGCTGAAGGCAGACTGAGGCTGAGGCTGAAGCAGACTGAGGCTGAGGCTGAGGCAGTCTGAGGCTGAGGCTGAAGCAGGCTGATGCTGAGGCAGGCTGAGGCTGAGGCTGAGGCTGATGCAGGCTGAGGCTGAGGCAGGCTGAGGCTGAGGCCGAGGCTGAAGGCAGACTGAGGCTGAGGCTGAAGCAGGCTGAGGCTGAGGCTGAGGCAGGCTGAGGCTGAGGCAGGCTGAGGCTGAGGGTGAGGCAGGCTGAGGTTGAGGCTGTGACTGCGACTGCCGTTGCCGCTGCGACTGTCATCGCGAATGCGACTACGACTGCGAGAACAGCAGAATTCTACAACTGGATTTTCATCTGAATCGTAAGGGGAATGCTTTCAGATATGCTTCTACACATCGCTGTTAGGTTGCTTTGCCGGGATAATTTCTGGAAGCGGTGAAAAAACGGCCCTGCCGTTTCCGGGGCCCACAACGGGCCCGACTTCGCTGGCGAGGAAGGGGGAGGACCTGGAGGGAAAGAGCCCCTCCATTTTTTCGCCGCCGTCGGCCTCGCAGGGCCCTTCTGGGGCCCAGAGCCGTCGAAACCGATTCACAGGATGAGGAGAGGGTCTCCCCGGGGGGAGGCCCCGGGGTCTCGGGCCCGCTCCCTTCGGGTCCCGTTTCCTTGGCATCGCTCGGACGTGTGCGTTTTTCCTTCGGCGAGGACCATCGAGGAGCATCCTTGCTCATTTGGCGAAAAAACCACGCACGAAACCGACAAAAAACACAGGGAATGGACGTCCAAGCGATGGCGAGTTTCCGTCATGCCAGAACTGGTGGAGGACTGCCAGGAACCTGGAAACGCATGACGTGTCCGGCACAGTCGGATACACGCGTGGCTGCACGTTTCCTGGCGCGGTGGAAGTCACGTGTGGGGGCAACTAGGAGAAGAGGCGTCGGGTGACTCCGTGAGCGCGGCGTTACATTTTGGAGGTGTCGTGTTTGAGCCCTGGTGCTTCGGTGGGAGTTCCCGCGGAACAGCCTGGACACCCCAGGAGCTCAGGAGTGCATGCGGCACCCTCGGACGAGTTGTGACCTCCCTTCTTGACCCCTCCCCAGAGATTCGAGGCTTTGTTTTTTCCAAGGCGGGGTTCCCAGAAGTCCCAGCCTTTTGCCTAGGGCCGTTTCTTCCTCCTGGGCCGTCGTTTGACGCTCCCAGGGCCAGGTGATGGGGCCCCCGGAGGGTGCACGCGACGAAGACCCCGCATCTGGAATTTTTCGAGGCGTCGGATGTCCCAGCGCGGGCCGATGCAGGGAAACGAGGGATCGAAGAAGGAAAACGCACACGAGCATAAACTTCTGGCGCTCCGCGCGGCGCGGGGCTCTCGCCTGGGCGCCGCCGGCGCCCGCGTCAGTGCCCCGATCGCTCGGGGCCCTGCAGCGGCAGTGCCCACCGAGCGCGTTCCACTACTCGCAGAGTGCTTCGCCCAGGCATGCTCGCGTCGTTAAAACAAAATCAGGACGGGAGGTTTTTAGCTATTTTCGACCCCTGGGGGCCCTCGCCGGCCCCCTGGGAGCGTCAAAAACGACGCAGGACGAAAAACCGGCCCCGGGGAAAGGGTCGGGACTTCCAGGGACGCCGTCCTGAGAAGATCCGGACGTCGCATGTCTGGGAGTCGAGCCTCTAGTTGCCTCGACTCTTAATGCATCGTGAAGCCCCCGCGGCGAATGTCCATGCCACTTGCGAGCAGCTGCTTTGCGAGGCGTGGAGCGCGCTCGTCCAAGTGCGGCAGTGCCTCGGGGCGCCGCCCGGCCCCGCGGCAGCGCCCCCGCCGAGGCGCCCTGCCCCCGGGGGCCTCTCGCGCTGGGCGGCACCGGCCGCGTGCCGGGCCAGCTCGAGGCACGGCGCCCTCGAGGCACGCCGCCCTCGAGGCACGCCGCCGCGCGCGTTCGCGGCGCGCGCGCGGAGGGCGTGCGTCGAGCTGGTCTGGTACGCGGCTGGCGCCCGTCCAGGATTCGGATCCGGGCGAATGGGTCCTCTGCAGCGGGGGAGCTCTTTTGAAGCGGAGCTCATCGCTCTGGAGTGGGGCTTGGGAGAATTGTTCGCTCGGGTTTGGTAGCGTAGATGGCTGAAGTGCAGAGTAGCATAGCGCAGAATACGCATCATAATAATAAGAAGGCGAATGCGAATACTACTAATAGTACGACTACGACGAGAAATAACAAGAAACATGAGAAGTCGAACACTAGTAGTAACACCAATACTAGTGATAGTACGGATCATACTACTATTAGTGGTAAGGCTACTAATGCCAATGCGAACAATAAGAATGCGAACGCTGCCACTCAGTAATTGACAGAATAATGGGCAACGCATGTACTAGTAAGATGATCGATCGTGCCACGAATAGCAGCTATAACAATGATATGATGGTACGGTAGGCTCCCGTGAGCTGCTGCCGAAGACTGGCTGCCGTCTCCCCGCTCGGCGCCCTCCGCCCGCGCCTCCTGCCCGCCGCCCCTCTCTGGGACAAGTCTTGCGGGCGCCTCCGGCGACGTCTGGGGTCGCCGACGCATGCACGAGCTGTGCGCGCCCACTGCTTGCTCCTTGCCTCCCCCTCCCCCTCCTCTTCCTCTTCCTCTCTCCGGACACCTGCTGCCCTTCAGCTGGTGCGCGCCGGGGGGAGCTCGTGGGCTCTCGTCGCTGGGTGCAGGGGCAGAACCCACACATGCGACGCCCTGCTTTTTGTTCCAGGGCGGCGTCCCCGGAAGTGCCCACCCTTTCCCCGGGACCGGCTTTTCGTCCCGAGTCGTTTTTTGACGGTCCCGAGGCCCGGCGAGGGCCCCCTGAGGCCGAAACTCGCCGAATATCAACCGTCATTTTTTTTTTTTTTTTTTTTTTTTTTTTTTTTTTTTTTGATTTTTCTCTGTGTGTGTGTGTGTGTGTGTGTGTTTAAAATAACAGAATATATATATATATAAATATAAAGACGCGAGCATGTCTGGGAACAGATCCTGCCTGCCGCCCCTCCGCCCCCGCGGAGCGCCGACCCCCTTGGCCAGGAGGCGCTGGGCGCGCTCTCGCGCGTCGCCTCCGCCGACGGCGAGGCGCGCGGGCTCCCGCCGCGGCCCGCGGGCCCTCGGAGGATGCTAAAGTCCATGCATCTGCACGAACGAAAGGGGCATGGAAAGAA